AAGCATGGGTGAATAGAAAAGTAATGGTTTCTAGAAGTCTTCTGAACCTCTTTATATTTTGACATCCATCTTTCCCTGCCAATACTCCTGATAATAGAAAAAAGATCTTTAAAGTAGTAAAAATTTGTAATTTCGGATATCTCAGATGTATTTTTTGCCATACTGTCCACCAATTCGTTTCCGATTACTCCATTGTGTCCTTTAACCCAGAGAAAAGTAACTGATTTGTTTGTGAATTTTAGATCATATAATAATTTTTTGATATCAAGTATAATGGAGTTTTGAAAACTATCTAATGGATGGCTACGAATAGCTTGTAATACTGCCTGAGAATCTGATACTATTACGATGTTCTCACAATAATTAGTGACACACCAAGATAGTGCTTTCTGTATAGCAGCAGCCTCAGCTGTAAAAATAGAACAACATTCAGGAATTCGATATTTCTCAACATAGTTGCTGTTTGAAACAAAAAAAGCGAAACCAGTACTTTCAACAGTTTTTGATCCATCTGTATAAATTATTGTTAAATTTTCCCCTAATTTGCTTAGTATGGATTTGAATATCAGATTAGTTCAAATTGGCAAGTCTGAATAAGAGTGCATTATAATGGTTGGTTTGTCTATCAGAACTTCAAAGTCTTGTACGTAAAAAGGAAATTTTGGTAGCTGTAATATATAAGATTGAAATGAATTCGTATCGATAAAAGATTCTGCAAGAGGAGGATAATTTTTTATTCTTCAATAAGGATTTGTTAAATTTTCTGTCAAAAGTAAACCTATTTTATGAACCATAGTTGTATTAAACGATCTGTACGTTATTAGACGTTTGTTGGCTAACATTTGCCTACGTATGAATAAAGGTGGTTCCTGGGCTTCTGCTAGAACTGCTTGGTTTGGTGAAGACATCATAGCTCCTAGACAAATTTTTATTGATTTAAATTGTATTCTGTCAAGAGTTAATAGATTTGTTTTGCATGTTGAACCGTAAAGAATACAACCGTAATCCAGAATGGATCGTATGTAGGATCTATAAAACATTAATAAGAGATATTTTGATCTGCACCCCATCTTTTTTTAGAAACGAAACGCAGAAGGTTAATTCCACGCTCGCACTTTTGTTTTACTTACATACACTTTGATCTTAGCCAGAGGCCGAGAAGCGATAAAAAACTAGTGTTAAAAAGAACAAAGAAGCTGTCAAGATAAACAGGCAAAAAAGAGATGTGAAAATCATACATAGTCTGTTTTATATTATGTACATTCAAACTGAATAATTTCTGATATTGAAAAATAAATTGTACCTATTAAACAAAGCATGATAAAAAATGGTACTTACACTAAAATTTACTTTACTATACACTGATCCCGTTATATAGGTTACTAAGGGTACAATTATGGAAACCGATGGTACAATAAAGGCAACTAGTGTTCTAAATTGTACCACCTGCAACCTACCAGGAAAACATACTTTTTTAACAGTAATATCAATGATATCAAGTTACAAAAAGTATCATGTGTGTGTGTGTGTGTGTGTGTGTGTGTGTGTTGTGTGTGTGTGTGTGTGTGTGTGTGTAAATATTTATTATTTATTCTAATACATCGTTCAGTTAAATTTGACATATATTATTCAAATTAATATTCGAAATATATTAAGTGGTACAATATTGGCTACTCTCCCCTATTTGTATATATCTGTTCTCTTTCACTTATTCTTATCCATACTTCACAGATTAAAACTAAGAATGACAATCAATAGTAAACATGAAACACAATTCGTTAGTGCTGTCTAAGAATTTAGTGCTTTACAAATTCAACTACTGCAAAAAACAAAAAATGTTCAGACCAAACCTTCAAAACATTCACGTCCAATAAATTCTCGGTGAATCATAAGGTTATACCTTTTTACAAATTGTGTCAAATCAAATCTAAAAATAAAAAGGAAGTACTTAAAAATCAATTAGTAACAAACCAATTCCGCCGTCTTTACACTAACGAATTAAAAATAGTACTACCGTACTCTTTGTGGAATGATACTATTAGTACCGCCTTTATTATTGATTTCGTCTATTAATTAGAAATTCTACTATACTGCTAAATTACCGATATAGATTTGACATGAAAGATTGCGTAGTTGGTATACGTTCATCTAGTCTGGAGTGATAACTTGTATTGTCAATAACACTAACTGAATGTTTAGTGAATTTAGGTGAATGAATGCAATCATTTGTTCGAAATATTCTTCAAACACATCTCCTTTAATCTACAACAAGCTTACCAAAGACGCCAAAATCTAAAAAATCGATAAATTTACCATTATAAACAGATATACAGTCAACCCACGAAAACCCTTACAGAACTAAGGCGACAAATGAAAGGAGATAACACTGCAAGCAAAGAAGCGATAAATCAAACAAATAAGACGATCACAAAGGCAATAAGAAAAGACATAAGAAACTACAATGTAGAAAAAACAAAACAGGCAATAGAGAAAAATAAGAACATGAAAGTTTTGAAGAGGAGCGTACAAAAGTGGAAAATAGAAATTAACAAACTGAGAAACAGAACTGGAGAAGAAGCAACGAACAGAGATGAAATATTAAGAATAGTCGAAGAGTTCTACACAGAGTTATATAGATCAAGAAAAAAAGATAACAATACGGAACCTCCAATTACACTAAAAACTGGGGTATTAAACCAAGGATCAGATTTAATGCCCAATATAACAAAATCAAAAATCAAAGAAGCCCTGAAGAAAATGAAAAATAATCGAACCCCGTGTGAAGATGGGATAGTATCAGAAGCACTAAAAATTGGAGGGGATGTATTACTTGAAAAAATTAAACAACTTTTCAATATCTGCCTTCACAGCGCCAATATTCCAACAGACTGGAACAACGCTACTATGATTCTATTACACAAAGCAGGAGACAAAGCAAATTTAGAGAATTACAGACCGATTAGCCTCCTCAGCCATATATATAAGTTGTTTACGCGAATACTAGTTAAGAGAATGGAAAGAAAATTAGAGACTTATCAACCAAGGGAACAGGCAGGATTCCGAAAAAGTTACGGAACAAATGACCATCTACAAAGTATAAAAACCCTAATAGAGAAAGCAGTGGAATACAATAAACCTCTAGTTCTAATATTTATCGATTTTCACAAAGCCTTTGACACAGCTGAGCTAAGCAAAATATTACAGGCGCTTAAAGAATGCAGGCTAGATTATAGATATACTAAATTATTATACAAAATATACCTGCAGGCAACAACCACTGTCAGATTACATACTAACAGTAATCGCATAAAAATAGAACGGGGAGTTAGACAAGGAGACCCAATGTCACCTAAACTTTTTAATACGGTGCTAGAACATGCGTTTAAGAATTTGGATTGGATGACAAAGGGAATAAAAATAGATGGAGAATATCTAAACAACTTACGTTTCGCCGATGATATACTTATAATAGCTGAAGATCTAGGTATGGCAAGAGAGATGGTACAGGAACTCGTTGTGGCTACGGAAAATGTAGGTTTAAATATAAATATCTCAAAAACAAAAATCATGACCAATTTGGTGCTCAACCAGAACATCAGTATTGGTGGGAAAGAAAGAGAACTCGTAGATAGATATAAATACCTGGGACATTGTCCTCCCCAGTCTTGACGTACGGAGCAGAAACACTTACCTTAACAAAAGCAGCAGCTACCAAACTGAGAGTCACGCAGAGAAGAATGGAGCGGTCCATGTTAGGAATAACTATCCGAGACAGAATAACAAACGAAGACATCAGGAGAAGAACCGGAGTGACTGACATCATCGAGAATATAGCCAGACTAAAATGGAGATGGGCAGGACACATAGCCAGAATGACAGATGGGCGATGGACAAAGAGGTTATTGGAATGGAAGCCAAGGGAAGACAAGAGAAGCGTCGGTCGACCACCTACAAGATGGACTGACGATTTAAGAAGACTCAATAAAAACTGGATAAGAGCGGCGCAAGATAGACGGGGTTGGAAACATGAGGAAAAGGCCTATGTTCTGCAGTGGACTCTTGAGGCTGGATGATGATGAAACAGATATATTATAATGACGGCCACTCTCATTGTGAAGTCTACAGTGACGAAATTCGTGTACCCTCCAACAATAAAATTGTTAGCAGAACCCTGGTCTTCCTGGCCCTTCGGCATACGTCGGTGACGTCTACAGGAGTACAGAAGGAGATCTGCTAATAGTGGCGTGCGCAATATCATACCTGTTTTTTTTACCATGGGTCTCCCCTATACTTTACACCAGACGTTGCCATTGTATATTATATCCAAAATAATAAAGTGCATGATGACTTTTGGTATTATTTGATATGATACCGAGTTGTCAATACTATATACGTTCAGTTTAGCTAAAGTTATGAAAACATAAAAATTTTCAGATTTCAAGACCACTATTTCAGAATTAAGTGTATAATACAACGCACTGAAAGAAACCTTTCGGTACTGTTTATTTATCGAATAATGCATTTTAATTAAAAATTTTTAAATTTGTCTGCATTTTATGAATATGGATATTAAAGTTGAGATAAAGTTCATAGCTATACAGATATATAGTCGGCATTTTTAGTTAGCTTTACACAGAATTTCGCAAAATTGGAATTCTTTTCCCATGAAATACCGAGACTGACGAGCTGTAAAATGTTTCTACAAAAGAAATTTATATTGGGATTTTATGGAAACTTTTATTGGAAGTTATCGTGTATATTTTCCAATATTTATTTTGAATTGTTGATTATCGCACTACAGATAAAAAATGACAAAAAAGCCATTTTTGATAACTAAAACATTTCTGAATAAATATTGTGATCTCCCATGTTTTCCCAAAGATAAGTTTTAGGACTTTCCTATCCTCTTCTTATACACAAGAGTATTTCATTAAATGCAGAGAAAATTTTACACAGCCAATACAAACTTTACCTAACTTTTGCATTTTCTTTTTCTTTAGAATTTATCCGAAGCAGAAAAGCGAAAAGTAAGTTTCTCCATAGACGGCTCGATAAAAAATGGGGATCCATCCCACGATGCGTTATTGAAGTCTAACGATAAGCAGCAGACAATTATAGATATGAAAGACGATGCATATCCCTTTAACACTAGCAATGATGATATCAGGAAGGCTCATAATGACGCTATACTCAAGAAGATCCCTATCGGCGCTCAAGGGTCCACTGTTCTTGTTGGTGAGGTGGATTTTCTGGAACAGCCTGCGATTGCTTTTATCCGGTTGGCAGAGGGAGTCGTTATTCCTTCGTTGATTGAAGTTGACATTCCAGTTAGGTAAGTTCTTTGCTTAACATAAATACTGCGCTATCTGCATATAGGGTGTTCTCAGATTCATCATCATCACGTAGCGAATCACGAATCATTGACACAAACAGTGAACAAATACAAAAGCACCTACACAATCATTATAGGCGACTTCAATGCCAAATTAGTGAGAAAACTAGAAGAATCAGAAAATAAAATCGGCAACTTTGGATATGGAACACGAAACGAAAGAGGCGAAACATTAATGAATTATATGGAAACGAACGGTCTATATGCGATGAATACCTTTTTCAATAAAAAACCACAGAGAAAATGGACGTGGGTCGCGCCCAATGGTTTAACAATAAATGAGATTGATTACATCCTATCCAAAGAAAAGAGCATAGTACAAGACGTTACGGTCATAAACATGATTTCCGTAGGAAGTGATCACAGAATTGTTAGAGCTAAAATCAAAATTAACTCCACAACAGACAGACAAAAATTTAAACCATCTAAAAAAGAGATAGATACAGAACTTCTTAAAGAACGCAAAGAACAATACATAAACCAGCTAAAAAGAAGTGACATATCACAGCTAAAGGGTCTGCAACTAGACGAATTAAACGATAAAATAACAACTGAACTACTAGAAGCAGGCCTGAAGATTGCTAATAAACAAAAGCGAAAACAACAAAAAATTAGCGCTAAATCACAAGATATGCTAAAAAAACGACGACAACTACTGAACGATAACAAAAGAAATACAGTGGAGTATACCGAACTGAATAAAACCATAAGAAAACAGATAAAGGAAGATTTAAAGAAATACCAAGAAGACCGCATTAAGAAAATCATAGAGAAGAACAAAAGTTTAAAAACAATGAAGACAAATATAGGAAAAAGAAAACTAATCATGCTTAAAGCTGAGAACAATGAAGAAAGAGATCTAGGAGAAATAGTAAAAATCACAGAAAGATATTACACAGGCCTATACAGTTCTAAAAATGACCCACCACTATCATCTAAACAGAATCTCACGAGGAAAATACAAAATGTTGGCTCAGAGGTATTACCAGAAATAACTAAAGATGAAATCGAAAAATTCATAAACGACATGAAAAGAAATAAAGCGGCCGGTGAGGACAAAATACTGGCGGAACTGCTAAAAGAAGGAGGAGACACGATAAAAAAAATGCTAAAAATACTGTTCAACAAATGTCTGTTTGAAAGTAAAATACCCAAACAATGGAGAAATGCCAACACAATCTTAATACATAAGAAAGAAGACCGAACAGACCTAAACAACTACCGTCCTATTTCCCTTTTGTCACAACTATATAAAACCTTCACAAGAATAATAAACAACCGACTAACCTATAAACTTGATAACTACCAACCAGTGGAACAGGCCGGATTCAGAAAAGGATACAGCACAATCGACCATCTACATACGCTTAAAATCTTAATTGAGAAAACCAATGAATACAACCTTCCGCTGTACTTAGCATTCGTAGATTATGAAAAGGCTTTCGACAGCATTGAACACTGGGCGGTTGAAGAAGCTCTGGTCAATAGTAGAATAGATTCAAGATACCGACAATTGATACATGATATTTACCAAAACGCAACCATGACCGTAATTCTGGACGACAAATTAATAACGGATAATATAAAAGTTAAACGAGGAGTCCGACAAGGCGATATAATTTCACCTAAACTGTTTACCTTGACCCTCGAAGACATAATAAAATCAACAGATTGGGAAAACAGAGGAATATGTATTAACGGAAAATACCTAAATCACCTTAGATATGCGGATGATATACTCCTGATCTCCTCGGAACGACAAGAACTGGAATTAATGCTGAATGAACTTCATGAAAAATCGCTGCAAAAAGGCCTAAAAATTAACTTCAACAAAACAAAAGTAATGACAAACACGGAAGACCAAGAGGCAATAAAAATAAAAACAGAAAAAATAGAACAGGTAAATGAGTATATCTATCTAGGACAAGCAATCAGAGCTAATAGAGAAAATCAAACAGCCGAAATATCGAGACGAGTAAGAATGGGATGGGCAGCGTTCGACAAACTTTCTTACGTTCTAAAAAATCAAAAAATCCCTCTATACTTACGAAGCAAGGTATATAACTCCTGTATCATACCGGTGCTCACCTACGGAGCACAGACATGGACATTTACACAGGCCAATTTGGATAGGATAAGGAAGGCACAAAGAGCGATGGAGAGACAAATGTTGGGTGTATCACTTAGAGATAGAAAACGTAACCAGTGGATCAGAACCAGAACAAAGACAGTAGACGCGATAGAACAAGCAGCAAAACTGAAATGGAAATGGGCTGGACACAATGAACGTCTCCAAGACGGACGATGGAACAATGCCATCGGAAAGTGGCGTCCATACAATGCATAGAGATCAAGAGGCAGACCACAGATGAGGTGGAAAGATGACATCAGGAAACAAGGAGGTCCCACATGGCAGAGAACAGCTCAAGATAGGGAAAGATGGAGAGAACTGGGGGAGACCTATATCCAACAATGGAAGGATAGAGAATAGGTTCAAAAAAAAAAAAAATCACGTAGCGCTACAACCCTGTGTGGGTCTTTGCTGACTGTATAACTTTTTTCCAATTTGTTCGGTCTTCCATCAACCTAGGGTCAACTGGAATGTTCATTTTCCGGAGATCTGCTCGGAGGTTATCTCTCCATCGCATTCTAGGACGTTCGAGTGGTCTTTTGCCTGTGGGAATCTTCTCCAATACCAGTTTGATAAGTCTCCCGTTATGCAGTCTGTGCACGTGGTCTGCGCTTGTTAGTCGCTGTGATTTAATTTCTTGGACAATATCGGCGTCGTTGTAGAGTGTTTTTAATTCGATATTGGCTCTGATCTTATATTTCTTTGTGGTGATGTCATGGTGAGGTCCGAAAATTTTTTTGAACGAAAAAAAAAGTATTTTTCGTTCAAAGCGTCTGAGCTTTTCTTCGTTGGCTTTGGTCATGGTCCACGTTTCTTATCCGTATATTATTACAGGTCTGACGATGGATTTATAGATTTTGATCTTTGAACTTCTTGTGAGATTTTTTGATTTTGTCAAAAGAGATTGGATTCTGTTGTTTATTTATTGGATTATTTCGATTTTCGATTTATTTCGTTTTGAGTTTTTCCGTTAGGACTTTGCCATGTCCATCTTCTCTGTGGTTTCTTTTTGAAAAAACTGTTCATTTGGAATCAGTCATGTTGCAGTATGAACCTTAAATGTATTTCGCCACGTTCATTTCTACCATCCAAGCCAAAGTTTCCCAGTGGTGTTTCTGTAGGGTAGGATTTTATTCCTGTTTTGGCATTAAAGTCACCACATATAAAAGTAAAATTTTCTTGATGGTCTTTAGGAGAAGCTTCGATATCATGATAGAATACCGACAAAATACATCTTAGTCGAATTTCTCTCTGAATATACTTGAAACAATGTGTTTATGAGATAGGTATGGTAGGGTAGGAACAGAACTATTGACTCATCTAAAAATAATTAGGTTATAAAATTCTTTGTTGTGTATGGGTGCCGGTTGACCGCCAATTGTCTATTTTGTTTTCTGTTTCTCCTTCAGTACCTGGCATATTTCTTAGTCACTTGTAGTTAGTGATCTGATGTTTTATATGGCTTGTCTAATTTAATTTTTATGAACGAAGAATATAAAACGAAGAAAAGAGAAACGAAGTAAAAAATAATGTGAATGTTAATATGCAAAAAACACTAACTGACAACAAACAAATTATGGATGTAAATAACACCAGCTCAAGAAAGTTTGATACAACATAGGTCAGAGGCTAAAAAACAGTGGATGGCAGAAGAAATACTATTACAGATGGAAGAAAGAAGGAAATATAAAGGAAAATATCTACAGAACTATAAAGAAATACAACGAATAATTAAGGAAAAAATCAAAAGAGGTAAAGAAATCTATTTGATGAAACAATGTAAAGAGATGGCATCTGTGACATCTGTGAAAATGGTGTTTGGAGGAGGAGGTACAACTACGAGGTATACCACACATATAAACAAATATTTGGTGGTAAAGACGTAGTATCTCTTATAAGAATAGGAAGATTAAGATGGGCAGGACATCTAGCAAGATCACAGCAGAACAACCCTCCTAGAAGAATCCTTATGTCACAACCCGTGGGAAGCAGAAAAAGGGGTAGGCCAAAACTCAGATGGAAGGATGGTGTAGATGAGGATGGTAGAAAGATAGGCGCAGCAAACTGGCAACGGTTGGAAATGGATAGGACTGCCTGGGGTAATGGACTTGGGAAGGTCGAGGCTCTTTCATAAGGCTGTAGCACCATTGATGATGATGAATGTAAAGAGATAGAAGAACTAGAAACAAAATATGATATGGGAAATATGCACAAAAAAATAAGAGAAGTGACTGTAATGTATTGGCAGATTTATTCAACACGGTGTACGGCACAGGAATAATACCACAAGAGTGGATGAATTCGGTATTTATAACCATCCCTAAAAAACAACCAGCAAAAGAGTGCTCTGATTGTCGAACACTGAGTCTCAGGAGTCATACTTTAAAAGTACTGCTGAAAGTAATACATAAGAGAATACAAGAAAGCTAGAGGAGGATATTAGCGTGACGCAGTTCGGGTTCCGAAATGGAATGGCTACTCGAGAAGGACTATTTGCCATCAACATATGTGATGGGGGGACCAAAATATGAAATTTTGAGACTCATAATACAGGGAAAGATTCAAGGAAGAAGATCCGTTGGCCGAAGGCAGAACTCATGGTTGAAAAATCATACGTGACTGGTATCAACACAGATCGATTGATTTTTTTAGAGCAGTAACTTCAAAAATAAAAATATCCATTATGATTGCCAACCTCCGTAGAGAGACGGCACTCCAAGAAGAAGAATCTGATTTTTCGATGATTTATCCTTCCATTTTGCCCTGGTCCTTGTCGTTCCATCAGTCCGAGGTTTCATATTAGATATATAAGTAATTATTATTTTATTTACAAGTAATCTGCTAATTCAAGATTTCTTTAAGGGATATAATGAAATGATTGTCTATAATATTTCTTTGTTTTATATTTGTGTTTATATTTTCAGATTCATATTTCTCCTACTGGGTCCCAAACTGCCAAACATCGATTACCACGAAGTCGGTCGATCCATATCAACCTTAATGGCCAATCAGCAATTCCACAATATAGCTTATAAAGCGGAAAATAGAAAAGAATTATTATCAGCAATAAACGAATTCCTAGACGACAGTATTGTGTTGCCTCCCGGCGACTGGGAGCGACAAGCTTTGCTGCCTATCGAAGAGATCAAGGCCAAAAGTGAAGCAATCAAGAGACGGAAGGAAAACGCGTTAAGGAAGGCTCAAGAAGCTCAAGGGATTATAGTGAAGCCTTTGTTGTCTCAAGGTAAGTTGTATGAAGGTTTCACTAAAATATGTTTGAGAATAATTCTGATACCAAATAGGTGTTTTTTTTAATGTGTGTGTTGGAGTTTCTTATCTGGAGCGATTCGGCCATTAAGTCAATCCATAATTTAAATTCAGAATATACCATAAATCAAACGAACGGACCTTTTCAGAATTGTCGATCTTTCTTTAACAACGCGCGGAGGTTAGCTGTGGTATTACCTCGCCTAAAACATGGAGTAGATAGATTCACTTACCTCGGAACTACCTTCAACTCACAATGGGACTACGCTCAAGAGAATAGATCCAGAATTGAAATGGCACGGTCTACATTTATTAAGTTGAGATTCTTGCTGTGCTGCAGTGATCTCAGTTTGGGAACCAAGATGCGGATAGTGAGGTGCTACGTTCTTCCAGTGTTACTATATGGAGTTGAAGCCTGTACACTGACGCAAGCCACTGAAAAACGAATCGAAGCCTTCGAGATGTGGATATACAGAAGGATAGTAAAAAAATATCTTATGTGGACCATGTCACCAATGTTGAGGTCCTACAGCGCATGACAAAAGAAAAAGAAGTGCTTAATTTAATTAAACAACGTAAGCTTGATTTTTAAAGAAGCCTTAGTTGAAGATACAGGCATTAAAATCAACGGAATTAATGTCAACAATCTCAGATATTCAGACTTATTACTTATTGCCTCCAATGAAGAAGACCTGCAACGACTTATAAATAGGGTAAGCGAAGCATGGGATGAATATGGGCTAAAACTTAATACTTCTAAGACAAAATTTATGGTTGTCAGCAAAACGGAGTTACAACCAACGAACATCAGAGCGTATGGAATAGAGTTAGAAAGAGTCCACAATATTACCTACTTGGGTGCAAACGTTAACGATAACTGGGATATAAATAAAGAAATAAGAATACGCATTGAAAAAGCCAGAGCCGCCTTCTATAAATTAAAGAAAATTCTAATTAATAGAGATATTACGTTAAATCTTAAAATCAGATTAATACGCTGCTACGTATTCTCCACATTGCTGTATGGTGTGGAGAGCTGGACCCTTACAGAGACATTAATGAAAAAATTAGAGGCCTTTGAGATGTGGATTTATCGACGAGTATTGCGGATAAGTTGGGTTGATCGAATAAGAAATGAAATAGTTTTACATCGAATGAAAAAGAGCACAGAAATAACAAAAACGATAAAAATTCGGAAGTTACAATATTTCGGTCATGTAATGAGACATCCAGAGAGGTGTAACCTTCTACACCTAATAATACAGGGTAAGATCGACTGAAGGAGAGGCTCCGAGAATGGTATCAAGAAACCACCTTTAATTTATTTAGAGCCGCCGTGAATAAGGTTATTATCGCCAATATGATCGCCAACATTCGATAATCGGACAGGGCACTGAAAGAAGAAGAAGAAGAAGCTTGAGTACCTCGGCCACATGATGCGGAACGAAGAAAAATATCGAATTCTTCAACTCGTTATGCAGGGTAAAGTATTTGGCAGAAGGGGACCGGGACGCCGTCGTATCTCGTGGTTGAAAAATCTCCGACAATGGTTTGGGATGATCTCAGCGGAGCTGTTTCGCAGAGCAGTCAACAAAACCATGATAGCCTTGATGATCGCCATTATCCGGACCGGATAAGGCATTGAAGAAGAAGAAGAAAACATGGATCATTGAGCAATGATATTGGGAATCACAGAAAGCCAATCTCTTGCTGCCCCTTTAATTAGTAAATAATTTGGTACTCATAGAAATATTTTCGAAGACATCGAAATTTTCTTTAGGGAGTTTTTTGCCGATAGACTTCAGCAATAATGTTTAGAGGAAGGGTAGTTTGCGGTTTGGCGCCTTGGAACTGAACTCACCTTCAGTTAATGGCTCAACTTATTTCTCAAATTGGATTGTTGTACTGTCATTGATAGATAAGGATAATAGTAGAAATAATCCGAGATTAGAATTTAATTTACGCATGATTTAGAAACTTTCACTGAATTGAAATGATCTGAGATACAGTACAGTTGAATATAAAAGGACAACAAGAGATTGTTCTTCAATTCTAATATTCTAAAAATACATTTATATATATATATATATATATATATATATATATATATATATATATATATATATATATATATATATATATATATATATATATGTATATATATGTTGTTCGGATAGATTTCCGCGGTCAAATGAATGAAAATCACTAGGTTCTCGGGAATTGGAACCAATGGCTCCATGACATACTCTGTTGCGGTTCAGATAACACCATTCTCAGTGCGGAAGAGAGAAACTGTTCGGTTTGACTGTGAGATTTTCTATTAGGTATGCGTTGTTCACTTCTTCGTTCCATGCGTTTATTTAATGCTCATCGATTGTGAAATTGTTTGGAGGATTGTTAGCTGTTCTTGTTGGTGGGTTTCGAGATCTTAGCGGCAGTTGGCACTGGTTGAGCTGATCGATGTCGGTATTTATTGACAGTGATGGATTATTTTGATATTTCTGATATTGAGATTTAAGCGCAGCTAACCGTCGTGTTTTGGATGGTGCAATGTTGCTTAAAACCGGAAACCATTGAGTTGGCGTACTCTTTATGGTCTCCGTAATATATCTCATGGTTTGCTTTAATTGTACATCTAGAACATTAGTGTGGTGACTATTTAGCCCGACTAGAGCACAATATTCGACTGTTGAATAGACTAATGCAAGAGCTCTTGGTCTGATTGTGTCTACATTGGCTCCCCAAAAAGTGTTTGCAAGCCTATGAATGATGTTATGACTTTTTATTTTAGGTGCAGTTATGTAAGTGTTGCTTGAAAGTTAAAATGCGATCTAGTATTACACCAAGATATTTTAGTTTTGGTTATGTTTTAGAATAACTCCTTCGCTTTCTATGTTTAGTCTGTGGTTTACTTCGCGACTTAAATGTAAAGGAGTAACTTCAGTCTTTGTAGGATTTTGAAAAGACCCCATTTTTTAAAATATGTGTTTTGTGAAGGTATAAATTAGTTTGGAAATAGAATATACCTATTAGTTACATTGTCTAATATTATATTTTGTTTTCAGATGGCGATAAAAAGCCCCCGTTTGACGACCCCTTGGAGCGCACCTGTCGTCCGTGGGGAGGCCTAATCAGAGACTTAAAGCGTCGTTACCCGTTCTACAAAAGCGACATCGTCGACGGTCTAAACTCTCAATGCGTGGCAGCGGCCATCTTCATGTACTTCGCCGCCGTATCAGGTGCTATAGCGTTTGGCGGCCTCACGGGTGACAAAACGGAAAATCTTATCGGCATATCAGAAACCCTTTTATGCACCAGCATCGGAGGGATAATTTTCGCTCTCACCTCAGCTCAGCCTATTCTTATAGTCGGCACGACAGGAGCTCTCTTACTCTTTGATGAAAGTTTGTTCGAATTTTGTAAATCCATGAACATTCCATTTTTACCGACGAGGGTATTTATCGGACTTTGGCTAGGAGTTATCGGCGTGCTAATAGCATCTTTCGAAGGCAGCGTTTTGGTAAAATTATTTACTAGATTTACAGAAGACATTTTCTCAACGCTCATAGTATTACTATATATAATGGAAAGTATGATGAACCTATTCGCCGCATACACTAAACATCCTTTATTACCTGATTATTGTATGAACGCGGTAACTTTTCCATTGGGGCAAAACGATACGTTCATCGGTGATAATAGCACTGACGTCAGTGTGCACGTGGTTAAAATTCCAACGACAGATGATCACGGAAAACCCATAAATCAACCAAATACGGCCTTGTTTTGTACTGTACTGACGATAGGAACTTTCGCAATAGCTTATTACTTGAGAATGTTTAGAAACAGTCAATTCTTAGGACGAAGTGTAAGTAATCAACACGACAATATACTAACTTAAATGTATCAGAGCTTTATTATTTATTTATTTAATTTTACGCACAACCAGCCGTTAAGTCCTAGGGCATTTTTTTACAACGTAATCCTAATATTAACTAATTACAATTATTTTAAACAAATCTTTAACTTAAATATGTATATATAACATTCTTAACTACTCTGAAAGACCTGGTGTACAATATTTCTCCATTCGCTTCTATTTTGTGCTTTTACCATCTGATTATTTGTGCCTTGACGAACTTGGTAATGGTAGGTTCTTTGTATAAAGTCATTAATTCATTGTTGGTTCTTCTCCCCCAACCATCTTCTCTTCCGTCCTCCGGATATGCGTCTCAATATTTTCCTTTCCCATCTTTCCAAAGTATCCTCTTCCTTCTTATTTAATGTCCATGTCTCACCGGCATATATTACTGTGGGTCGAATTACTGTTTTATATATTCTGAGTTTACCTTGTGCAGAAAAGTATTTTGAGTTCAGTAGTGCTCTTAAACTACCTAATTTTTTATTCCCTTTTGCTTTTCTGGCTTCGAGTTCCCATTTCTCTTTTCCATTTTCATCGAAAACTACACTCAGTTATTCAAATTTGTCCAGCCTTTTAAAACTATAGCTTTTACCACTTACTGACCTCACACTAAAGTCTTCTTTTTTCCCTTCTGTCCCTCCCATGATGATATATTTGGTTTTATCTTCATTTGGTTTCAATCCGAATTTCTGTGCTTCTTCGATGATATTCTTCACAACTCTTCTTAATTCTGTCTTGGTTTTTGCTAGGATCGTTAGATCGTCAGCAAATTCCAAGCCATGGTGCTCATTTTTCATGATCGTTTCTTCCATTTTCATGCTGTATTTTCTAATTACAGTTTCTAACACTAAGTTGAATAATGTAGTAGATAAAGGATCTCCCTATCTCAAGCCTTTTGCAACCGTAAATTGATCTGATATGTGATCCTGCCAAGCAATTTCACACGTAGAGTTATTAAGTGTCATTTTAACTAGACGGATCAGTCTCTTTGGTATATCCAAATGTTCCATTGCTCGATACATTTTGACTCTATCGACTCTATCATATGCTTAATTACTATTTATAACTGGGAATAAGCCACAATTAAAGATAAAAATACGTTTATTGACGTTTCAATTTCCAATTCGGAAATCGTTCTCAAAATACAAATAGTAAATTAAACAAATTTTGTTTTTTTGTTACATAGTGAAAAAATTCTTCTAATAATTTAATTTTATCTGACTCATTTATATTGACAATTCAGACATACATTATGCATTTTAAAGTAGACGACTTTAAAATGATATTGCCAATATTGTTGAGTTGCGCTCCTGGGTAAAGAGGATACATCATTTATGTTTTTTTAAATAACGTAACATATAAAATCAGAATTTTGATGTTTGTTGAAGGTAAACTAAATTCACGAACAAATACTTACAATGTCGGGATAGTATTATGAGGTTTTTTTTCCTGGTTTTTCCCTCATAATTTACTATGGAATCACTAACAGGAGAATTTTACTGTCATCATGTCATGTGTTTGTCTTTTTAAAGACGAATTACATGCTATGATTTTTTCTGGCGGATATTCTCAAGTTAAAGTTGATTTCATGTAATCGAATGAACTATCTTATAAGTAAAGTCGTCCCAGGAGCGCAACTCAACAATATTGGCAATATCATTTTAAAGTCGTCTACTTTAAAATGCATAATGTATGTCTGAATTGTCAATATAAATGAGTCAGATAAAATTAAATTATTAGAAGAATTTTTTCACTATGTAACAAAAAAACAAAATTTGTTTAATTTACTATTTGTATTTTGAGAACGATTTCCGAATTGGAAATTGAAACGTCAATAAACGTATTTTTATCTTTAATTGTGGCTTATTCCCAGTTATAAATAGTAATTAATTTACAATGCCACAAGAAAATAGCTTCAGAACAATATTAAGAAACCGTTATGGGCCCAGCGTTATTCAAAATTTTAGGAGATTGGAAATTCTATACAAGAAACTGGCACACTGTCAAAACTCAATTAAATTTTTACGAAGATGTAGAGATAACAACCTAATTCCAAAGGGCTTGAAGTTACGTCCAGCTTATTCAAGCAGAAGGTTGGAAAACATTCTACATAGAGCCAGTTTGTCCATGATCCGAGAAAGATTACAATATCATAGATCGAATTTATTTTTTGTTGAACAAGATATTGTAAGTATTGAAGATTTGCTTTTCAATGTGATATCAAATTCTGATTTTGATCAAATTATTTTTAGTTTACATATAGTATATGAAAATTCATATAGAAAACAAAGAAATATACATTTAAATAAATTTAATATTCTTTTAGAACAAAACAGTATACACACTTTAGATAACCTCAATAGAAATGATGACATATTAGCGACAGTTGTCAATCTATCAAATAGACATTTAAATGCTACGGAGAATTTAATACTGTCAAAGGGTCTAAACTTTGCTATTACTCAGCCATCCGTTCCAAAATTAGACATAATAAGCTCAGTGGAGAAAATATCTCAATGCTTACCAACCCATGAAAAGGAAGAATACAGAGTGTTATGTAAACTTGAATTGGAAAAATCTACTAAAATTGAACAAAACATAAGCAAAGAGGAACTAAAGGCTATAAGAACTTTAAAAAATGACGACTCCATAATCATCCTACCAGCAGACAAGGGGAATGCAACTGTAATAATGGATAAAATTCAATACGAAAATAAAATTAAAGATCTATTAATAAACGGACCTTATACAAAATTAACAAAAGATCCAACAAAGCCTTTGGAAAACAAAATATATAGAACTTTATTCAAGTTTAAAGATGTTTTAACAAGTTATCAGAGGGGATTAATTACACCTCATTACAGTAAGACTCCTCATTTTTATGGAGTACCGAAAATTCATAAAACGAATATACCACTTAGACCCATTTGTAGTACCATAAATTCTCCTTGTAGTGAACTATCAAAATTTTTATTAAATATTTTAAAACCTTATACAAATAAAAATGACACATTCATAAAAAATACACAACATTTTTAAATAAATTATCAAATATTGAATTTAATTCAAATAATACTTTGGTAAGTTTTGACATAAATAGTTTATTTACGAATGTGCCATTAAATAAGACTTTAAGTATAGTCAAGACAAAATTAGAGAGTGATGATTCATTGGCAACTAGAACAAGACTAAACATATCGGCTATAATGGAGTTATTAACATTATGTACTGATAATACATATTTTCAACTAAATAATGAATTCTATAAACAAAATTTTGGTCTAGCAATGGGCTCTAGTTTATCTCCATTCTTAGCCGATATATTTATGGAAGATTTTGAAACAAATATCATTTCTAAACAAAATTTCAAACCCACAATATGGTGGAGGTATGTAGATGATGTATTCTCAATATGGCCTCATGGATCAGAGTTGTTGGACACATTCCTAAACGATATAAACGATAAAGAAGAGACAATAACATTTACCATGAAAAAGGAATATAATAACACGCTACCTTTCCTGGATGTTTTGATCTCTAAGAACGATACTGGATATGAGACTCAGGTGTATAGAAAACCAACACACACCAATAGATATTTAAATTTCAAATCAAATCACAATATTAATGTAAAAAGGGAATAATTAAATCCTTATACGATAGAGCCAAAATTACTTGTTCTAACGAAAATTCGTTCTTGGAGGAGAAACATTTGTTAACATCTGTTTTATTAAAAAATGATTATCCTTTATCGTTTATAAATAAGGAATTTTCAACAATCGATCGAATAGAACAGAACAACTTAGAACGAGATCCTACAGCATACACAAGGAATAATATGAGGAAAATAACAATACCGTACATAAAAGGATTATCAGAAAAACTTAAAAGGATAGGAAATAAATTCAACATTTCAACAACATTCAAAACAACAAACACGTTGAGATCTATTTTGTCTAAAACCAAACCTAACAATGAACAAGAAAGGACAAAGAATTGCATTTATAAAATACCTTGTGAATGCGATCAGTTTTATTTAGGTGAATCATCAAGGCCATTAAATGTTAGAATAAGTGAACATCAATCTTATATTAAAAACAGAGAATTTGATAGATCTCAAATATGTAAACACGCATGGGATAATGAACATAGAGTTCAATGGAATAATTCAAATATAGTCCTAAAAGAAACGGATGGTAAAAAAAGAAAAATCAAAGAAGCGGCTCTAATTATGCTAAATGAGGCCAATTGTGTCGCAAATTCCTCGGCAGAATGTAGTAGGATCTGGTTACCAATATTGAAAGAGGAAGTTATTAATAAGAAAATACCAGTATTAGTAAGTCAGTAACATATAGAGGATACATCATTTATGTTTTTTTAAATAACGTAACATATAAAATCAGAATTTTGATGTTTGTTGAAGGTAAACTAAATTCACGAACAAATACTTACAATGTCGGGATAGTATTATGAGGTTTTTTTCCTGGTTTTTCCCTCATAATTTACTATGGAATCACTAACAGGAGAATTTTACTGTCATCATGTCATGTGTTTGTCTTTTTAAAGACGAATTACATGCTATGATTTTTTCTGGCGGATATTCTCAAGTTAAAGTTGATTTCATGTAATCGAATGAACTATCTTATAAGTAAAGTCGTCCCAGGAGCGCAACTCAACAATATTGGCAATATCATTTTAAAGTCGTCTACTTTAAAATGCATAATGTATGTCTGAATTGTCAATATAAATGAGTCAGATAAAATTAAATTATTAGAAGAATTTTTTCACTATGTAACAAAAAAACAAAATTTGTTTAATTTACTATTTGTATTTTGAGAACGATTTCCGAATTGGAAATTGAAACGTCAATAAACGTATTTTTATCTTTAATTGTGGCTTATTCCCAGTTATAAATAGTAATTAATTTACAATGCCACAAGAAAATAGCTTCAGAACAATATTATCATATGCTTGTCTAAAATCCACAACTTTACCTTCATAACAAGTCGTTTGTATCTCCTTTAATGAGAAGATTTGGTCTACAGTAGATCTGTCCTTTCTAAAGCCGGCCTGATATTCAGGCAGGATTCTTTCCGTGTAGCAATTTAGTTTATTTCTCAATATTCTTGCCAAGATTTTATACCGTATCTAATAAGGCTATACCTCTTTAGTTGTCACACTTCAGTTTGTCTCCTTTCAGTTTTGTGGGCGATAAATTACTTAATTTTAACGAGACACTCAGTTCTCTATGGTTCTTTGTTCACAACAATGTAAGAATGAACAGTCTATTCAGTGCACATTGTGTCCATAACCGTTTATTATTCGATAGTGTCTGGATATTTGTAAGCGAAATCTTGGCTGTTTATACGGGGGACCAAAACTAACAAAAAGTCTGTATATTTTAACGATGCTTATATAAAGTTGCATATCTACCTTAAATTTTCCCATTTAGTCATTTCAAAACAAAATAATCTTCCACAAACATTTTATACTACTAGAAGCAATAAAAATTATTTACAAGGTTACAAAAACACGATATCGAATCACCGAAGGGAAAGAATAGATTAATTCCGTATCTAAACTTATCTTTGAAAAGTCAAGAATACTGTCGAGGAAAACATTATTAATCTGTTGTTTCCTTTATTTAAAGGATAGATAATCAAATACTGATTTCGTTTTAAAATTATCTGCAGGCTCAGTTGTAATCCATACTTATTTAATCCATGTATTTTTTAGGCTAGAAGAGCTCTGGGCGACTTCGGTGTACCAATAGCAATAGTTATAATGGTCAGCGTCGACTACGTGATCCCTGCAACGTATACGGAGAAACTCAACGTACCTTTAGGTGGGTTGAAGCCTTCAAGTGCTGATCAGAGAGGATGGTTTATACCTCCAACCGGTATTCCTGTTTGGATAATGTTCGCGTCCATAGTTCCTGCTATGTTGGTTTACATTTTGCTTTTTATGGAAACACAAATTTCTGAGTAAGTTTGTGTTAAGCATTTCAAGTTTTAACTATGAGGATTTTAATTTAATATAAATAAAACTTCAAATGATTAAACTGGATGAGTTTATTTAAAAAATAAACATAGTTCATAGGCGCTGGAAACTTTGTAACCACAAACATAATTGCTTAAAATATGAAAATGTTTGCCAAACCTTGCAGTTTATAATATCAACAGCAAATCTACTTTTTTCAACCTCTTTCTCTTTAGTTACTTCCTTAAACTGAAGTGAGCACATTAAGAAATTAAACAAAAAAAAGTTGAAATACATATAAATCATGAATATATACCTATATATGAATAAAAAATTAAAATAAAAAAACCTCGTATTACTTGCATTCCAATGCTAGAAATAAGTTTTTTTTAATACAGGTTATACTTTAAACAGGTTTTAGACATTCAGATATATCTATTTTCAGTATTTCAGAATTTTTACAAGTACTCGTATTGTGATTTATTTTCAAAAGAATATAGTTGTCAAAAATTTATTTCGAAGGTATTTAAAATTTAACAATTTTTGCGATTTTTGTCAATATACCATCCAATGTCTACTCATAAACTAAATATTTCCGGCGAAAAGAATGTCATAATTAATTGTATTCAGCACTGTTGAATTCAGAACAACTTCAAGAAAGTCTCTCAGTATACGATAAACTGCATTTGTTGCAATTTAACAATCAATAATGCCTAATACCACTGAGAAATAATAGTTTTTTTGTTAAATGAGGTTTTTTTAGAGGAGTATAACATATACCGCCATCTATTGTATAATGGCAACATTTACTATACATCCAAGTATCGATTGAAAGATTTCTCTGAATCTTTTTTAGTTGAGAATACTGCATGTTCTTCTTTCAATATTTTTTTGTTTTGAAATCAGTTTTTAGTTATAGTAATTATACTTAGTTTATCAGGAGTATAACGTCAGAAAATAAAAAACTAGGGAATGCAATAAACGCTACTCTATTTATTGGGAGTATAGATAGATATAGGAATATAATAGAAATGACATAATAAAATATTTTCATAACCACATCAATAAAATCTGATGATTATTTTGTATTCGTTCTTATATAATGCTCACTGTCCTCTGAATGTTGGCACTAACATGGCTATTTTGACTTTGTTGACTGCTGCCCTAAAAAGTAAAAAGTCCGATAGTGGTTAAGTTCAACCATTTTCTTAGGTTATAAAGCCAGGATAGGATATTCTTCTTCCTGGACCTCTTTTGTCATGCACCTTACATTAAAATATGGTCCGAAGTAGGTTGTATCGTTCTTCGACTTTTGTTAGTTAATATTTTATTGCTTTTATTTAATTATTCTACTCTTAAAATCGTATTACTAAAGTATTACTATGTACCATTTTAAGAACAGAATTATTAAATTAGATGTATACACGGTGTTCAATCATCAAACTGGCCATAGGAAACTCAATGAGAAATTGTTAAATTCTTGCTTCCCTAATTATTTTACATCAAAAGTCATTGGAAACTATTTGTAGAGGACTGAAATCTGTATCGTATATGAAAAACAAATGTTAAAATTTTACCAAATAAATGTATTCCAAAATGTTGCAAAAATATAATACATTTCTCAGGCCAACCTTAAAATTTGCCGCACGCAGCGCAAGAATCATTATTTTTGTTTTTTCTGTGGTAATAGTCAGACCTAGCCTTTTTGTTTGCGTTTTAACTCTGCATATTTTTCCTGTGCTTATGTTGATGTTCTACTCATAATATTAATATCATCAGCATAAGCTGCCAGTTGAACCGTTCGGTTGGTCAGTAGGTTTCGTCATCCAGTTTGCATTTGCCTAACCGCATACTCCAGTGCCAGATTAAACAAGCTTAAACCATCTCCCTGCTTTAATCCCTGCGTAATTTAGAAAAAGTCTGTCAGGTTGTTTTGTATTCGTACACATATCTGAGTTTCATCCATTGTAGCCTTAATTACTACTACTACCTATTGTAGTGTTTGTTCCTTTTGACTGAGTCATATACCTGTTTAAAATCTACAAACACGTTGTAAACATCAATGTTATGTTCCCATGATTTACTCAAGATCTGCTTTACTGTTTTACTTTTAACATAGAAGCTATTATTGCAGTTATTACATTGTTGCCTTTTTTAGATTGATCATCAGCAAGCCGGAGAGAAAGTTGAAGAAAGGTACCGGCCTACACTTAGACATCGTTATCATCTGTCTTATCAATATCCTCTGCGGCTTCCTAGGCTTTCCCTGGATGTGCGTAGCAGCTGTCCGATCGATCGTCCATACTTCAGCTTTGACAGTCATGTCCAGAACGCATGCTCCTGGAGAAAAGCCACACTTGATAGAAGTAAAGGAACAGAGAATGTCTGCACTGTTTGTTGCTCTGTTCATAGGTAAGTTAATTGTAGTCTACCAGAAAATATGAACAAGATTATTGACAATAAAAATTTTAATACTCGAAGTATAAAAAAACATTCACCATCATTATCACCCAGCCCTTTGCGTCTACGGCTGGACATGGGATCTCCATTTTTGTATAACAGATTTACCTCAGCATTGTGACATTTGTCGGGTATAATACTGTTGAAAAGGCACATATTAAAAAGTTTTTTATTGTCTTAAGTAGGCAAGCGCTTCCGATTTTGATTGTATCAGTAACTACAGAATCTTTGCCTCGAGATTTGTTACTCTTAGCTTTTCTTACGGCTAGTTTTATTTCGTCTAATGTGATTTCCGGTAGTAGTTCTGATCCTTGGTTGACAATAATCTTTTTCCTTGTTAATATTTCTGGTATTTGATCTTCTCTGTTATTTGCTTTGTGTTCAGCAATGTGTAGAAGTCTTTAACTATTTTAAGGGTTGCCTCTCTGTTGATTGTAAGATGACCATTTCTATCATTAATCTTTATTATCTGCCTTATCTGCGTTCTTAGTCTTTTGGCAATACTTTCATACTTCTATTGTTCTCAATGGTATCTTCGATTTTTTTTGGTTGTATTTTCGAATGTCTTGTCTAACAGCTTTGGATATTTCTTTATTTAATTTTTGTAGTTCGGCTTGAGTTTACGTCTCGCTTCCTGGGACAATGTCCCAGATATTGTGCCTTTCTTATTTTTATTGTATTTATTGTAATGGTAGTCGTAATAAACATAGCTCAATCGGTAACAAACTATATCAATTTCTCTGACAGAGTAGTCCTTGCAAAATTCAGTTCAAGGCCGTTAATTACCAACGTAATTCAGCTTTATGCCCCAAGCATATTAGATCCCCCTAACGTTGGCAATTGTATTGGTGAATTATTCACGGTCTTCAGCTAATCGGAATAGTTGTTCGGTATTAGGCTGCCTATTCCTGTCCAATCGCGAATGTTTTTGAGCCATGACACCTGCGTCCTTCCAATTCCTCTGCAACCCTCGCAAAGAAATTTTACTTTTCATGATAAGCTGAAGAATCTGGTACCGGTGAAGGCTTAAGCAGACGCAAAATCGGACCCAGAAGAATAACTCATTCATGCCTCCACTACTTACGACAGTGGTATCTAATGATATTAGTCCAATTATTCAGAAATGTCGTAAATAAAGGTAAAATTCCGTGTTGATAGCCAATGTTCCTAGCGGACAAGTCAAATTAAGAAGAAGACGAAGAAGTACGAGATAATGTAGTAGTAGCAGAGAAAATTTATATTAGAATCAAGAAAATTCAGTTCAAGTGAATAACGATAGCATTTATACAATTAGTATAAAATGTGGTGTACGACAAGGAAGCATTCTATCTTAAATACTACTTAATTTATATTTAGAACACAAAGCGACATTTAGTTACAGAGACAAAACTGCCAAACAACAGAAATCGCTAGTCATATTGTGTCTTTAATATATTGTTATGTCTTTATTAATTCTAATTTATTGTTCTTATTTTAATTTACTAAAACAGGATAATTTATATCAATTTATTAAACCACTATACAACGAATTATTTTCGACTAATAATTACATAATTTATTTATACGTGCGTTACATTTAAATACTCGTCGCGAATTTATCTTATCACTGCCCGTTTTCTACAAAAAGGTCCCGTTATACAGTGCGTTAAGTTTTGGATTAGGTATACACTCTATAAATGGCAACACTGCGCGTCGTCGACTTGCACTACATATCTGCTTCATTGACTCGTCGTTGCTCGTCGCCCGTCGGCAAATTTGTCATTATACCGTGGTTGTTTAAAGGTATAACAGCGTAGAGTTTTAATTTATTTTTGTAAACATGTCTGTTTATATGGCCGCGGAAAAAGCTCAAATAATAAAATGGTTTTATAGTGGCAATTCTGCGCACAAGTGTGTAGATTAATTTTCTGTGTTTTTTGAGGGAAGACCAATTCTTTGTCAATTTATATTCAATTATAGTCAATTTATATTATTTTTAAAAATTTTGAGAGTTGTTATTGCCTCAAAAATTGCAGAAAATGTCACACCCAAGAAGTGTTACCAGAAAAAGTTAAGGAAAGAGAATACCGGGATACACAAATTTGTGCAACAATCGAGGTAGATTCAAAACGTTTAAGTAGAAGCGTTGCTAGAGAGTTAGATGTTAGCAATGTTACTGTAACGAAAGTATGGAAAAAGCACGGTTACAAGAATTTTAAATATTCGAAAACGCAACAGCTTTATCCAGACGATTACTTTCGAAGAATGGAGTTTTGTGAAACTCTAATAACGAAGGTTTCGTTAGTAGGGAGACACAATCCTTCCATTACGAGATATTGGGCGCGGGAAAACCAGCACAGAAGTGTTGTTTGCCGAACTCAGCGTCCTCAAAAAGTTAACGTATGGACTGGCATTTTAGGAGACCACATAATAGGTCCATTTTTATTGAGGGTAACTTGAATAGTAGAGTATACCTCGATTTGTTACAGAATCATGTTCTTCCCGCTATTCTCAATCTTCCTGATGTAAATCTGGAGAATGTTGGGTTTCATCAAGACGGCTGTTTAGTTCACAACGCTCGAATTATTAGGGAGTATTTAAACAATACTTTCCCGAATCGAGTTATCAGTGGAACAGGCGATATTAAGTGTCCTGCGCGATCTCCAGTTCTACACCCATGGACTTCTTTTTTTGGGGACATTTAAAAAGCATTATCTACGCTCATCCTGAGGCTAGAGCCCAAAATTTGGATGAATTAAAAAATCGAATAAGAGAAGTCTCCAATTCTGTTACAGCAGAAACTCTTTCATCTGTTCGCAGAAGTTTTTATGACAGATTGGGGTACTGTTCAGCCGTAGAAGGTCAACTATTTGAACCATTTCTGTAGGTCATAAAGAATTACTTTTTATTTTAGTAGGAATAATATTTTAATTTTTAATAAGAGTATATTTTTTATTTTATCTTTTTAAAGAAATACGCTTTTATTTTTAATTCAACTACAAAAAATTTTCACATTAATTAAAATCGATAACAATGCACCGATTAGGTCAGTGCATTTTTATCGAATTTCCTACTATTAAAATCGGCTATACGTAATGAAACATAAGATCGGACGACAGAGAAGTACATCCCAAACGTTGTTGTGAGTTACTAAACTAAAATAAATGATTTTCTGTCGGCGCATTAGTCTCGGGTCGGAGAACGAACATTTGCAACGTTGCCGATTTTAGCGCTCCGTATAGTGTGCAATACCTAATCAAAAACTTAACGCACTGTATACCCAATACCGTTGTTGGAATTTCTGAATGGAACACCGCCGAAGGTTCGATGGCTTTCTCGACTGGTATAGAAGTTAAACGTGTTCTTCCAAGGGTCGGGCCAGTTGATGTTACCTGAAGTTTTTATTTGACCCTTTCTGGAGAGTTTGAATCGGAAGTATATGCCCTAGAAAATACGTGAATGAATAAGAATATTAGTAATAAATATATTTACGGTTTTGGGTCAGAATTTATCGTAACAATATTATGAAGAATATGGTGAACATAGTGTGGTGAGGTGAAATATGTAATGATTATGGAAACGTAGTGAACATTTTTCAAATATGTATTTTCTTAAGGGTCAATTTTATTTATAAATATTCTTGTTTCAGGTTTGTCTGTTTTTATGTCATCTCTTTTGCAACTGGTACCAATGGCTGTGGTTTTGGGTATTTTTTTGTATATGGGCGTGGCCTCCATCGATGGTATACAGTTCATCGACAGGACGAAGCTGCTCTTCATGCCGGTGAAGCATCATCCGCAAGCTAGTTACGTTAGGAAGGTAAGTACCTTTTTGTTTTTATATTATTAAAGATTTCCTTAAGTTAAAAAGTTATATAATGGTTTCAGTATCGTAAAACCAAATTGGCAATATTAGATATTTATGTACCAAGTCGGTATAGTAACCTTTTATCACCAACCATAAAAAAACATTAACAAATACTTATATTTTCTTAATCTTTTTATTGTCGAACATACAAAAATAAATACAATAGTTTTATTTATGTTGTCTTATTTTAAATAAGTACCTACTAATGAACAACTTGACAAGTTATTAAAATTAATTCCTGAAGTGGAATATTTTTTTATTTAAAGGCAGCCGCATCAACCATATAGGTTATTAGCGGATGGATTTAATGTAAACAATAATGATTATAAATAACAAATAAATAACATACTTATATGTGGTTCAATACACAAGTTACAGTCTTAAAAATTTCACAATATTTTCACTGGTACACTCACTAAAAATATCTCTTATAATTGATGGAATTTTATTAGTTAGTCTTTCAGCACTGAGACACTACATTAATACGTGTTTCACTGTTAACGGCACGTCACAACTCGTACATTTTGGTTGAGGTTCCTTCTTCATGAGATATGTGTGTTTGCTGTGTCTTAATCGGAGTCTGGTTAATACAACCTGAAAGAAACGGCTAGGGACGTTATTACTTCATCATCTAAAATTTGGTTTAATTTCTTTTAACTTTGAGGATTTTTTTCCCAACATTTAGTCCAATTACATATCAGCTTTTGTTTAAAATGCGGATTGAGATCTTCTGCTAATGGTTTTATTATCGGTCTGATATTTGGGGAATTTGCTATTTCTCGAGCATTTTTATCAGCTAGTTCGTTTCCTTTAATGCCTATATGTGATGGTACCCACACGAAGACTAATGTTTTGTTTTCCAGCTGCTGCATCTTGTTTTTAATTAATTGAGCAATCAGGTTGAAGGTGTACATTTTTGACAGTATATGGAGGGAATTGATTGAGTCAGTAATAATAAGGAATTTATCTGATTTGTATTTACTGATTTAGAGCTCTTTATATTGCATACATTTCTCCAGTAATCACAGTGGATTCTGTGGACAATTTGAAACTTTTTATTATGTCTCTTATAACAAATGATGATCCTACACCAGAAGTTGTTTTAGATGCATCTGTGTAAACTTGGATATATTCAGGGAAAGAAGAAAGTATTCTGTTATAATTGCTTATAAATATTTGTGGCTTAGTTTCAGATTTATGATATGATGATAGCTCTAAATTTAAAGTAGACAAAGGTATTAACCAGGGAGGTGGCGTGTTTACGTTTGCTGAATGTGTTGAGGGAAAGTTAAAAATTTCAATAGAGTTTAAAATGTTTTTGATCCTTAATTGAAATGGTAAATGTGTTCTTATATTGATATTTGATAACGATGACTGAGTAAGAAAAGGGTTGTCAGGTTGTAGTGATGATTGTTTTGAAGCGAAGATAGATTTAGTAATTTCCGTCGTTCATGTAATGATGGCTTTCCAAGTTCCCACTCGAGACTTGCTGACTTGCAACAGGAGTTGTTCTATAAGCTCCAGAGATTATGCGTAATGCATTGTTGTGTATAATGTCTAAAAATTTTAAATTTGACTTCGACGCTGAAGAATATGCAATGCATCCGTAGTCCAATTTTTATCGGATTAGGCTTCTATATAACAGTAATAATGTATCTCCGTCAGCACCCCATTGTTTGTTGGCTAAACATTTAAGAAGATTTATACCATTTTGACATGATATCGCCAATTTTTTAATATGTGGTTTCCAACTTAAAGTTTTGTCGAATGTTATGCCTAAATATTTTATCTCTGTACTTCGTTTCAAAAACTTTGTGCCGAAGTTTAAGGCAGGTATGTTAGTGTGAATAGGCTTTTTGGAAAAAATTTTATATTGTGTCTTGTCAGCTGAAAAATAGAATCCACTCCTATTAGACCAACCTTCGATTTTATTTAGTTCTTGCAAAAGTTTGACCATCGAGTTAATATTTTTTCCTTTCTGTGCAGATCTCTTGAGATTTTTTATAACATCATTCAGTGCTATTAAAAAAAGGGTAGGGCTAATTACAGATCCTTGTGGTGTTTCATTGTCTTGAGACTTAATATTAGAAAGTTCTCCATTACTACGTACTGAAAATTTGCGTTCATTTAGAAAGTTATTCAAAAATGCCAACATGTTTCCTTGAATTCCTTAAGTATGCAGCTTTGTTAATATTCTGTGTCGCCATGCTAAGTCAAATGCTTTGTGGATGTCAAAGTAAACAGCTATGCTTTTCTGTTTGTTACAGAAGGCTTCATTAATTTGACTTTATAAATGTAAAACATTGTCTATAGTAGATCTCAAAAGACGAAATCCAGCTTGTTCTGGTATAAGTAAATTGTGATGTTCCAAATGCCACATAAGTCCATTGTTTATTATTTTCTCTAGCAGTTTGCAAGTAGAACATGTAAGTGATATTGGCCTATATGATTCTGCTTCTGTAGCCCAAACTAAACCAATAAAGTACAAACTATACAAATAAACAAGTGAAAGAGGCAATTAATTCTAGTGACAGCTAGCCATTGGATTATTAGAGATGTATTAAATTATATTTTTAATATACGCCTTATAATCACGTGGTACAAACTTTATTTAATTGGGAATTTTATTTATAGATTAAATAGGACATGTAAAATTTTACATTGACTTAATTATGTTTCAATTATATTTTTATTTTTTCCTTTTTATAATCCGTTGCAAGATAAATGCATCCATTTAATTTTTAATATGCAATGAAAAATTTATAGCCAACCAACACATAAAACCTTTCACAGAAGCATCTGTCAGCGCCTATACCATTAATACTGCAAACATTTACCATAAATAGCTTCTTTATCGATGTTATTTTGAATTACAAAAGATCCTGAGTGGTACAATTACAGTGTGCATACAAAAGAATGTTGATAACAGTTATCAGTAATAACAGATAAGAGTAAGTCCATTAACAATGATAAATCAGAAAGTCAGGGTCTATTTTAATATCTATTTCATGGACACAATTGCAACAGTGATACAAGTAAAGTACGGATTATACTTTGCAAGATTTAAGTTAATCTGAAACTGCATTACTCTAAATTAATTAATTAGTAATTAGTGTAAAGTGGTTATATAATTTTGACAATTATGAACTTCGAACAAACATTTGAATTGGATTTATCTATCCTAGTCTGTGAAACTGAATATTAGCAGTTGTAGATTGATATTTTTAGTGTATATTATATAGCAGCGCTACTGGCCTTGTAGTCCCTTGCTTTCTGTCTCCAATTTCTCATGCCTATTTCTGAAAAATCTTGCTTTACTGCTTCCAACCATTTCTTCTTTGAAAGTCCTCTTCTTTTTTCCCATTTCTCACTCCTTCAGTATTGTTTTAACATTTCGATTCGCTGACATTCGTATAATGTGACCAAGCCATGTAGCTCTTTGCCAAGCCATTATTTCTTTATTCATTCGTCTTCTCCAAATGTTGTCTGCCGTCTTTATTCCTCCGAAGATTTTTCTGAGCACCTTTCTTTCCCAGATATCAACTTTCTTTCTTCCTGCTGGTTCATAATCCACGTTTCACTGGCATACATCACTGTGGGTCTGATTACAGTCTCGTAGAGTCGCAGTTTAGCTGTTCTTGACACATTTTTTGCTTTCAGTAATGAATTTAGTGACCCTATCGCTCTGCTTCCCTTCATTAATCTTTTGTTTATCTCTTTTTCGTCTTTTCCCGTGTTCGTTATGGTTACTCCTAAGTATTCAAATTCTGACACTTTGTCAAAAATATAGACAGGCTATGTTCCTTTCATTTTGATATATTTGTTATTATTCGTTATGTCTCCCCTCATTTCCATATATTGCGTTTTTGTTAGATTTACAATAAATCCGTACCTTTTCGCTTCTTCTTAAAATTTCTGGTAAACCTTTTCTGTAAAATAGTCCTGTTTGTGCTCATATTTGATCTTCTTACAATTTATTCTAATACTAGGTTGAATAAATTCGTTGATAGCGGATCCCTTGTTTTAAACCTCTATTCTCTGTGAACTGTTTTGAAAAGCTTAAATATTTTTTATCTCTTAACCAGGCTTCATGTCTTCTCCTTTACTGCTTCAACTAGGAGCTTTCTCCGCCTGTACGGTCGCTTTGATACAGTGCGTTGTCAACAACGATAACACTAGTGGGTGATAAATTTAAAAGTGATTTTTATCTGCACTTTTTGTTTATGATTTCCATCTCAGGTAGGAACTTTTCACAAGACCGTTATCATTTTCAGTGCCAACAACTATAAGCCTTTGTACCTTTTTTGCCTAATTTTTTTAAAACCTGCGCTTTCACCATTCCAAGTATTAACTAGAATGCAAATATGCTTCGTCGGTGAAGACGATTGTCCTGTTTTGGACTCTTTATGCTGTTCAAAAGCCCATTTTGGTGTTAACACAAACTAGGAAGTCAGGATCAGGTCGTAAAATAGCAATGAAGCAAGTGATAATCAATTTTTGACTTCGTATAAAAAAAACGTCTAACTTCAGTTCAAAACTAGACCTACGCAAATTGGAGTAAACGTGTTGTTCTCAGATGATGACTCCCGGTTTTGCTAGGGTCACTAGTCGATGAGAGAGTCTCGAGAAAACAAGTTTTTTTAACATAATATTGCCGAAAGAATATGGCACAGAATCTTGGAGACAGGAAGAAACAACTACCCAAAAATTACAAACCATTATAAATAAATTGTTGAGAGAAATCCTAAAAATATACTATGGAGAAGAACAAAACAAGAGGACACAATAAATACACTAAGGAAAGACCAAAATAATATAACCAGAGAAGCACTCGAATACCAACCAGACGGAAGACGAAGAAGATTCAGGCCGGATAATAAATCGAGAAGAACTGTGACAAGAGATCATAAAAGAATTGGATTGCGATGAAGAGAGGTCAGACATATAGCGGA